TACAAGCACACACATACCAGCATAACATTAACACAGTACAGAAACACACTCATTCATTGGGAAATTAGTAAATCAGCCTCTGTGTGTGTGTGTTTTTGTGAGAGAGACACACAAAGCCGTCCATTGAGGAAGGTAAAACTGCTGCTACACAAAGAACGTGAAGAGAGACACAAAATCATGGTCTCCTGCTCATTCTCTAACTCTGTATATTGTTGGGTGGGTCTGTCTTGGCATTCCTTAGTCTTGCAGCAAAACACACACACACACACACACACACAGAGCACAGCGCATGTATGTCTAATGTAATGTGTGTGTCTTCCAGTAATACTAACATCATGTGAAAGTTGCAGAAAACCTTCAATCGGCCAAACAGCAGGGAGAGAGGGGAAATTTCAATCGCCCACACACACACACACACACACACACACACACACACACACAAAACATGCACAATTAAATAACACACTAAACACACACACACACACTCACTTAAAACATACACATTTAAAAAAACACACTTAAAACACACACACACACTTTTAAAAAAAATGCTCAAAACACTTAAAACACTTATAACACGTACTTAAAATACACTTAAACAAACACTTAAAAACACACATTTAAAACATGCACACACTTAAAACACACTCTTACAACATTAACTTAAAATGCACACACACTTAAAACAGACTGAAAAAACTGACTGAAAACAGACTTAAAACACACACACACACACACACAAACACTTAAAAACAGGCTCTTATAACACACTCACTGAAAAAACACTTACACACAGATGTAAAAACACACACACTTAGTCAGTACACACAGAAGCACTCTATCACACTTGAGACAACCCAACACATTTTAAACAACAATGACAGAAAATACTGCAACAACTCACCCAGCTGATTGGCACGAGGTTGAAAGTTCAAAGGTCAGCCCTTGACCTGTGAGTGTGTGTGTGTGAGATCATGTATAAGCGCAGTGCAGAGCCGCACAAACACACTGATGTGAATCACGGCCGACCGAACGACAGAATGAGAGAATGAGGAGCGAATGAGAGCAGAGAGGAGCAGTGTGGGCGGAGCCTATAGATGAGTGGGCGGGGTCAGACACATAACTGCATTGGGGGCGGGGCTTAGGCACAGTCTGATCAACAAACCTGACACTGTCTCTCTCTCCTTCAGTCTGATTCCTCTGATGCAGGAATGATTCAAAACAAAGGAAAGATATTCAGGTTTCTTTCAAGAACAAGATTACAATAATATCAATCCATCATATTTTAAAGGGAGGAGAAAACTTTTTTTGATCAAATCATTCTGATACTGTATTGGTCGCAGGTTGATGTCTAATACACAATCTGATTCCTGCAGATAAACCAGTGATGCAGAACTATGGGAAAGGGTCAAAGGTCACTCATGGTGGCCAGTATGATGCATCATAATGCTGTTAAAGATCACATGTCAGAGGATTCATTCTGCTGCATCTGTCTGTCTGTCATCACCCGTCTCTCTCATCCGTCTCTCTCTCTCTATGTGAGTGAATGGACTCTTTGTCCGTCCGTTTCTTCTCTTCCCACTGAAACAGCACAGAGGAATCCTGGGAGCTCATAAGTGTGTGTGTGTGTGTGTGTGTCTGTGTCTGTGTGTGTGTGTGTCTGTGTCTGTGTTTTAGGAAGCGGATCATATCACGCTGTGATTCGTTTTGTGTTGTTTTGGTAGACTGCAGTGAAAGCTTCCTGTGTGTGTGTGTGTGTGTGTGTTCGTACAAATGAATCATATCATCAGAACTTCACACACACACACACACATCAGTGTTCATCTCAGACACAATGCTGATGATACTAGATAAAGTCCCACACTAACCGTAAATCCCACATGAACTGGTTGATATCACTACATCAAACACTCATACATATCACAAATTCCCTTATGTGACAATAGCACACACACACACACACACACACACTCACACAGAACAATAAATAAGATCTAAGTAAAAGATCACAGCCTGAAAACTCTCCACATTACTAACAAATCATCCAAACTCAAGTGACTGGCCTCATCAACTAATGCTGATATTTATAGTTCACATTATGACAATGCATCTAATTAATATTCAGTTATGTAAAGCATGAAGAGAGTTCTATGTGGACATAGCTACACATCATTTTTACACAAAACTGGATTCTGAAAATGGAAACTGAATGGAATTTAAACATGCAACATTCTAAAGTAGCAGCATACTGCGGTTTGAAGCGTTTAACACTGCATAGTATTTGCAAGTATTTTTAAATTATAATAATCAATGCATCAATTTATATAGTGCTGTACTGGATAGCAGTGAGTGGGACCTCCTCATTAGTATGCATCGTGCAATAAGTAGTAAGCAACTACTTCATTTTGAACACATCCGTTGCTCATCATGTCTCATAGTCACACAGTACAGAGCGCTTTTATCTTCTGATGTTTATCACGTCACAGCTGGACCAGAAACACTTTTAGACAGGACTGATGCCAAATGTAATTTTTTTATGAATTGAAAAGGTGTTGTGAAGAGGTGTCTGGACTGAAAATATGCAATGCTGAAAATGTCTTTACAAAATAATAAATGGTGACAAAACTCTGGAAAACACATCTTAAGGCGAGACAAAAAAACGGGGAAAATGGATAAAAAAGTAACAGATGTCATCATACTTCTCTAGCTCACCGATTACATTAAGAATTGCAAATATTTTTAGAGAGATGTTATGTTTAAGTATGCATGTTGAATAAAGCCAGTTTTCCAATTTTGGATTTCTCTTCTAATCACTACTCTTTTTATCAAACAAATTATTGAAAATAAAGAAATTTTTGCCATGTTTTCAAGAATAAAAGGTTGTATAAATCAGTGCTGCTGAAGTGGAGAAACAAACTCTTAGGCTGATGATACTGGAATTGAATCTACAGACAGTGCAATGAAAAGAACACTTAAAAGTGTATTTTTGATGTTTTCTTTCCACTAGTCTGAAACAACAGGTTATAAAAATAGACCAAAATCCCAAAATTGACCAATGCATGAAAAAGCAATGGTTTTGCCAGTAGTGTCTCGCTTTAAAACAGTACAAACCCACTGAACGGACTGTAATTCTGTCTTTCACAGCTTTGATTTAACTCACAAACAATTAAATGTGGCTTATATCTCGACTACAGTCTATATGTGACCCTGGAGCACAAAACCAGTCGCTGGGGTATATTTGTAGCAATAGCCAACAATACATTGTATGGGTCAAAATTATAAATTTTTCTTTTATGCCAAAAATCATTAGGATATTAAGTAAAGATCATGTTCCATGAAGATATTTAGTAAATTTCCTACCGTAAATATATCAAAACTTAATGTTTGATTAGTAATATGCATTGCTAAGAACTTCATTTGGACAACTTTAAAGGTGATTTTCTCAATATTTAGATTTTATGTATAATGTATTACATGTATAAATCTCAATTTATGACTGGTTTTGTGGTCCAGGGTCACATATGCGCAATATGTATGTTTTATTGTTGTCGCAACTTAATTATGT